AGGATCTCTATGAAACTTTTATTTCGTGGTAAAACTTTGTGTGTTCACATGAACCAAAGTGTTCACGAGATCTCTCTTTTTGAAATTTTCCTATTGACACAAAATTAAAAACCCATAAGTTATAATTCGGTTATTGTTTTGAATTGACAAAAAGTTGGCAAAATAAGAAATTATAATCGATTGCAATCGGTTATAATTGATTTTAGGGTGTTTTTATAAGAACTATAATCAATTATTATCGACTATAATCTCCTGGAAAAAATCATGATTATAATCAATTATAAGTCCTTTAAAAACCCAATTGTGGTAATTATAATCAATTATGATTGTCAAAAAATATCATAATAGTCCGTTATAATCGATTACTTACGCCTAAATTTGGATGCGGTAGGGGTGGATTTAGGGAGTGGTTGCGGACGCCCCTCCCCTCAGGGATTCGACCACCTGTCGACGAAAAAGGTCCCCCTTTTGTACTATTTTCGGATATCCATTTTTGGAGACGGGAACTAAATTTTTCGGCGCCAATATATACTTATTTTGTATATACTAAATACCCTCGAGAAAATCTTAGATCCGCCCCTGCTGAAAAGTAAGTTGAATTTTTATATCAATTTTACACTAGCAAAAAAATTTAAATACAACAATTACCTCTTTTCAATGAGCAAAAAGTTTTGTTTATAAATCCTGAAAATAAATTTCAAATTTAGGCAGTAACGCCAATCTACAGCGCTTTCATCTTTCATTTAACAAATGAACGATGATTGTTCTTAAATTAAATGACACCTTTCAGCGGTCATATCACCAACATGATTGAGCATGTTTTTAGCAAGAAACGACCTTTTTTTGAACTGAATTAGATGATTTAAAGGTTTGTTTTGATGTTTGCCTGTGATGATCAGAACAAAAAAAGTAAAAGCATGGTAAGTAAATCGCACCTTGAGTTCTTAGCAAATATACCGTCGCTAAAATCTAAAAAACCTATTTATGTTTCATCTCATTTTAACTTTTTAAATTCAATTTCATCGCATTTCATGTTTTTCTCGTAAGCTTGTGTGAGTGCTAAATTTAGTCGCAAAATAAATTATAAACTCAATCAGGTTCTAAGCTAGTTTTGTTCCTTTTTCATTTTGTACTGAGGGATGTCTGAAGGAAGCTTGAATCCATCAAAATGCAAAAACTTCATCAAGTCCTCGGTTCATATTGGATCTGAAATTAAAAAGCAAAAAAGTTCAAATATTTTTTGTTAATTGAACGCAGCTCGAAAACCGGCTAGACGAGTTGCGATATAGATTTTCACTCGAATCTTATATAGAATCTTTGAGAGAAAAATCATCCATTCAGGCAGAATTCCTTTTAAAACTACTGCAAAAAAATTAAGTTTCGACCCGTGACGAGTAGAAACAAACTGTACTCTTCAATTCTATCGATAATAATATATTTTGAACAGGAAAAAGCTCAAACCGTTGTGAAAAGTAAAATTTAATAGTTTTTTTTTCACCTAAGTTTTCAGAATGCGTTATTTGACATCTGATTGACAACTAAAACAAAAAATGGAAGTATTTCGTCTGTATTTTCTTTTCTGGTTTTTTTTTGCTGAAAAATGATAGAAAAACTAGCCCATATTTGCCGTTACAGTAATTGCAGAAACTGATGTCCTAAAGTTCAATCGTAGCATGTGCTGAAAACGCTGCTTTCAAAAGGTTTCAGTTTTTTCTAGTGACCGTTTTTTTAGTTTAATATTTAAGTTTTAACGGAAAAATGTTTAACAAGCGTTTAATTAAAGTTTCAAAACTTCATTTGCCCTACATGTATTCTCTCTTGACTGCATTTAATTATTTTTTTTTTATTGCTAATTTAGAAAAAACAATCGTGTTTGGTACATATATCGACGAAATTTATCTGAAATCTAAGTTAATAAACCTAATGAGTGTCAAGAATCGACTCAGTGAAAATAACTGAAACACTTCATCCTTATTTTAGAAATCATGTTTGTTCAGAAAGTTAAGGATAACTACATACTTGCCGAACAGATTTAGTACGAAGTAAATTTCCATAGTTTTTCTCCATAAAAAGAAACATTTTCAGCTAAAAGATATCAGACACTGGTCTTGGAATATAAAACTATCCCGAAAAGTTACTCGTTGTTATTTTGAACCTTAGTGGTTTTTCATAAATTTGATCAGAAAAAAGCAAACATAAAATAATGTTCTGGGTTTATTTTTTAAATTCCTACAGCATAAGTCGTACTGTGAAAGTATCGATATTGTAAGCTGTAGGTTTTTATTTTGTTGAAGTTTTAGAACAACCGAGAAGTCACATTTATTAAAAAAAGAAGGGTTCTAGTTTCTTTTTAAATTTTTGCAAGTGAGTCTTTATGAAAGGCGAGAGGTTTCGACAGTGCACGTGCATTCTCAAACTTTTTTGAAAAACTGAAACCTCTTGAAAGTCAGCGGTTTGAGCAAATTGTTTTGCTATAATATTTAGAGACATCAGTTTCTGCAAATAATGTAAAAGCAAATGAATAAAATGAAAAACTTAAAAACAAAAAAGTATGCAGACGCTATTTTCCATTTTAAAATTGATTTGCAATTTGAAGGGAACCAAAACTGGAAACAATTTTTTATTTGATAGGGGAAAAACGCAACTCTGAAACTTAAATGAATTTAAATGGGTTTTCAATTAAGCCTATCAATTGCGACCAATAGACAAAAAACCAATCGAGTTATCTTTTATTAGAATTACTGGCATGAAAGGAAACTGAAAATGTTTTAAAATCAGCAGTTTGAGCGAATTTCAAGGCAAAAATTTTAAAACACCAATTTCTGTAAGTACTGTAACTGCAAATTTTGGCTCATTTTGCTATCTTTTTTTCAGCATACAAAAGAAAAAGCCCATTTTTTCCATTTTTGGCTTTCTCCATGCTAGCTGCTTGCTTAATGACAATTGAAGTCGACCAATTCTTAATGAAATGCTTAAGAGCGACCGCATCTAGGTAAGTTGAACACTTTATATATTTTTTCAACTCACGACTTCAACTTTGCGACATATAACCAGTCTAAACATTTAGATTGTTTTAAGTTTTGTTTTTGAAAACTTTGTTGAATTGCAATCATGATTTTTCACCTTTTTGAATAGCAGAAATAAGATTACATGAACTGTATCATAAAATCAGACAAGTTTCAATTCCTGCCTTCCTGATTCGATTCCTGTTTTGGTGGAAAAACTTTCAAAAAAAACATTTGGTTTGCGGATTTCATAGAAGATTCTTTCTACACTGATTAAAAACTTTTAAAAAGCAACATGTTTCAATAATCAGCAGAAAACGTTGTTTTGCATTTTTTATATCAATTTTTCTCCTCATTTTCTGCTTTTTTGTGGAAAAACGCTAAAACGATATCTTACATATCGAATAAAAAGAAGAAGAAAAAAACTTGGAAGCCCGCCTATTATATCAGCCTGTTGTTTTTTTTCAAACAAACGACAAAACGCCAGATCTATTTTCTTTTTTGTGGAGTTTCTTGAATAACAATCATAAAAAGATCACAATGTTGCCTTGTGAATTGCATCTCAATTTTTTAACATGATATGTTTGCTAAAAAGTAAGGATTTGAAATATGTTTTAATCAAACTTTTCCTGAGTTTAACTTTTTTTAGCTGAAGTGGGCACTAAAACTAACTGCAAAAAACAAATAAGGCAAAAATGATACGCTTTCTCAATTTGAACTAGTTTGCGAAACATGGGTTGTTTGACCACAGTTATATCACCAAGATTTTTGATCAGGTTGTGTTAAAAGGCAAAAGTATTTCGAAAATATTTCAAAGAATTCTGTTGCAGCTTCAGTAGCGACTAAACAGGTTGCAGTGCAACATTTCACTTAAGCCAATCTGCTTTTTGTGAATTGAAGTCTGTCCGTGTAGAAACAACTTAAGATTAAAATTCTTGCTCAGTACGTACTAAAAAAGAAAAAAAATTCTGGGAAAAAAACTTGAATGAAAAGCTTAAAGACGTTGGAAGGCGATTAGAAGGAGATTTTAAGCAGCCCTCTTATTGATCTCGAAAAAAGTTTTAAAAAAAGTAAAACTAATTGAAAGAAGTATTTGATAAAATTTCGTTTTCTTTTATCCTTCTGTGATAATTTAGTAATTTTGAAAACAAAACAAGATACTTGTAAGCTTTAGCTTAGCTTACAAGTTAGTTCCAATTCATTTTTAATAATTCATTAAGAGTTGTTCTTCCCGAAGAGTTATCTGGCTCATCTATGAGTTACTTAGTTAATTAAAAAGGAATTAATTGATGAATTATCATTAACTTTTTTCTGTGAATATTTGAAAAAAAAGGATTAAAAAAAAGAGAAAAAAAGAGAAAAAGTATTAATCAAAGGCTCAATCAACCTAATTTTAAATTCAAATTCGGCTGCTTGTGTTTTCTCTTGTTCAACGTTCAAATTGTTAAGGTAGAAATAAAGTCAAGGCACATAGAAGTTGCAACCTTTAGTTTTCAGGCAAAAAAATGAATGACATTTTTTTTCCACGTTTGTGCCCTTTTCTCTGCACTAATAAAGATTCACAGTTGAATTTTTGACAAACGATGCATGAAGGTCTTTTTGAAACTATAGCAGGATAAAAAAACCGCCAAATCTATTTTTGAGGTTCCGTTTTGCTACTTAATTAGAAAGCAACAGAGAAGTGTCCTTGAGCTTTTAAGTGAAAAAGCTTTTATAGTTTATTATCCGGCTATTGCTGAAAAAAAGTATCATATACCATATATCAAAATTTCAACCGTGAGTTTTTATTATTGTAGAGAAAATGGCACAAACGTGAAAAAATTTCGTTCCCTTTTCGCCGGAAAATTTAAGAATGCAACTTTTGTGTCCCGTGACTGTATTTTTCTGCGCAGAAAAGATCAACTTGCTTAACAACTGTGGTGTCATTGTCTCCAGAACCATATGCAGTTTTATTAGATTTTTTCAATGAGATAAGTCCCATTCATGTAATAAATATCCTCTTCATAGACGTTAAAATTATTTCCCTCAAAAATGGTTTGATCACAACAGTCGTGTTTTGAAATAAAATTAAAGTTCTGGAGCATATGAATGAAACTGAAGTATTCTGAAGGCCATTTTTAGGTTTATTTTGAATATCTCTTCGCTCACACAAACATGACATGATCAAAATGGATCCAACTTCAGCAGTCTCTGGTGGTCTCTTTTATTTGATGTGTAATTGAGCCAGCAACTAGCCCTCGCCTCTAAACTCTCTGCTCTTAGAAAACACAATTTGTATGCCAGATATTCCCAGTCTAAGTTCTGGCTTCGCTCATTAAACACCTTCAGAGTCCGCATTGATCTAGACAGTTCTCCGACTGAATCGAGTCCAAACTCTGGACACCTGAAACAAGCAATTTCAAGAACTTGAGAACCGGGTCGAGTTCCCGCTCAAAAGATATGAGCAGTTTGAGCGGTTTTCCAGCAAGATTTGAGCGATTTGAGCAGTTTATCTAATAAAACCGCTCAAAAACCGCGCAAGGTTTGAACGGTTTGTGAGCGGTTTTTTTTAGATAAACCGTTCAAAAGCCGCTCAAATCGCTCATATTTAAGCAAGATTTTGAGCGCAATCGTCTAAAAACACCGCTCAAACCGCTCAAATCTTGCTTCAAATCAGGTGAAAAACCTCGATTCGGGGATCAATTCATTTCTGAAGAGAGCTTCTTCGGTATAAAAAAATCTGCTATGTTTGGTTCAACACATACACGAACCAACTGTTTATTACAATTTGGTTCCTTATCACAGAATATTGTTAAAGAGAAGTATTTCAAAAAGTGCTAATGAGTTTTTGACATCAATCTCGGATGACGCACACAAACACATCAGATCTTATGATGGTCAAGCTATTTTCATCACTTTTTATAGAAGCGAAATCACCTGTGTTGGTCCACGTCTTCCAATTTCACTTCAATTCCTTTTTCCTGGAACACTTTCTCCGCCTCTTTAAGTTCACGCTTTTTGGGATGCGGGTCACGTGAGTAGATGGAGGCGGACTCCTCGAACACACCCCTGGCTTTTTCTATGCATGAGTAAGTCAGGAGGAACTGGTCTCCAAAATGGACTATGAAAAAGTCTGGCTCTTTTTTGTGTGGCTGAAGTTTGTCCTCCGAGTACACGAATGCCCCCTCTGATGTAGACTGGAGGGAGAATGGCTGATGGGCAAAGTGGTTAGTCGTCTTCGGATATCGCAGAGTAGTGAAGGCAGTCTTGTTCAACTGAAGATGCCAGCCTAAATGAAAATTTGACTCTTGAAAAAATCTCTAAGGTTAATATAAACGAAAAATTTTGTTTTTCGAAATTTTGTTTTATTCAATATCATCAACCATTTATAAAAAGCACAATGACAGAGAAAATTATAAGCAAAGGGCAAAACTTTTAGCCAGAGAAAGTATGATCCTTAATTTAAAATTGTTTTTGGAGAAATTTTAAGAAAAATTTTACATAACTTGATGCTAGCCATAAAATTCAGATGCACTATCGAAACCTCTGTTGAAAATTTAGTTGGCCTAGTTGAACTATTAGTTGTAAGCTTTTGAAAAAACTAAAACAGTATTTTGAAAAAACCTTAGTTCTTGGTTATTCTAAAATTTAGGTATGCTAGAAACCTGAGTTTTCATCAGTGCTAGTTTTAAGTAAAATCTATGCAGCAGCAGTATAAAAACGAAATCGAAAATATTTTTTTTTTGTTTGTTTTTTTTTCTGTGATATATTTTTTTCAAAACTACGAGTAATGTTTTCCATATAAATGACAATCCCAGATCAATGTCTGATATCATATCAGCTAAAAGTGGTTATGAAAACTTCTTTGGAAATATACTTCGTGATAAATTTTTATGGCAAGTATTAAATTTTCCTTAACTTTCTGAAAAATCATGATTTTTTGGCCAGGGATAATGTTTTCCATTCTTCTTCATGAGATGAATCTTGTCATTCCTTGGGTGCTTTAACTTGAACTTCGCATAAATCTCGCCATTGTATGTCTCAAAGCTTTATTTTGTATAAAATGCAGTCTAAAAGTCAATTCAAAATGAAATCCAAAAGAACAAAAAGAAACAAAACAACAAAAAATCGAAATCATCCAAGTAATTTTCATGTAGAACTGAAACTTTAAAGTCATGAAATGTTGTGGTGATGATGCTCTCAACTTTTTTGCAGAAAAGTTATCGAAGATATTTTCTATGCATTACTAAAATTTAGCGACATATTCTTTACCTAAAGCGAACGTCAGCCAAGAAACAATAAATCAATGTTCGAGTTCAGTTTGAATGTGCTGTTTCTGATTTTGGATCAAAAAACTAATGGAATCACGTAATAACTCCCCAGTTATCAACAAACTCCTCGTACTTGATTAGAAAGTAATAAATTATTATCTTTAAGGAATAGTGTTATTTAGCACAATTGAGCTTAGAAGCACTCCTGATTCATCAAATTTTTTAAATGTAATTTTATAAGGTTTAAAGGTGAGTTTGATTTTGTTCTAAAAAAATCGGAGCACTCAAGCTGAAACATTTTCAGTTGAACGATGCTGGAAGTCAATTTAACAACATCCGCAAAAAGAACCGCATAGAACAATTGGCAATGACTTAAATTAGAAATTGTAAAGAATTAAGAAAGGAAACCTGTAGAACAACTAAGCCACTCCGATTGTCCACAATTCAGGTTGAACAACATTGTTATACACACAATGATATCTTGCAGAAAATCAACTTTGAAAAAATTCAATTTTATTCCTCGAATTTTATCTTCGTGTTCCAACTTAGTTACTAAGAAATTGTGAATATGGATGTCAAAAGCCTGTATCAAATTAAGTTAAGAAAAAACTACATTTCAAGTTTTTCATCGCAACCGAGTTTTTTAAGCTTTTCAAATAAGGCATTTTTTGTGCCGTGCATCTGACTGATCCATAAGTGAAGTTCATAGAGTCACTCAATTTTTTTGAAGGCTGTCTTCCTCCTGTGTAAAAGATTTTCAATATAATTACTACAGCTTTTGAGCATTGGTAAAATAAACATGCTAACTAGTGTGAAACTTTTATATACTTTCAAATTTTTTGATTAATGATTGATAAATTTGTTTAAAAACGATAGAGAGCAAAAAAAATTACTTCGATATAAAAAAACACATAGTTAATCAATGCCACTAGGTTATTTTGTAATCAATTGCTGAAAATTTTTGTTTATATAGAAAAAAGAAGAACATTGCAATGGTTGACTTGCACCCTCGAGATAAAACCCGCACCGAAGTTTCATGGATAATAATCGATTATAATGGATTTTCAAATGTTGTCAATATAATCGATTATCATGTCAAATTTAGACCACATAATGGATTTTTAATCGATTATAATCGATTATTTTGGAAAAATTTAAATCTATTATAATCCATTATAATCGATTATAATCCATTTTTGTTTTCAATATAATGGATTTTTTTTTGTACATAAAATCCATGAAAATTGAATAATTTTTGTAAATAATGACTCTAATTTCTGCAACTTTCTGCAAAACTCGAACAAACACGTTCATCCAGGGACGACCAATATGTAGTAATTTTCCAAAAAGTGCCCAAAAACAGCATTTTTGACCAGCTCTTCACGTCAACAGCTCTTCCCATCCCCCCACGAAACCCCCAACCACGACGTGCCCCCTCTCTCTCTAGTTAGGGGACATCTAACTCTAGTAAGGGACATCAACTCTAGTAAGAGGTGTTGGGGGCATCAACTCTAGTACGAGGTGGGGGGGGGGGTTGGTGTGCGATCTATAGGTAACTTTTTATAATTTTTCAATAACTCGATTGAAAATAGGAAAAAAACAAATTAAGCGAAAAGAAATTAAAACAAAATAACTAACTTAAGTTTAACAAAATTATGAAAAAATGAAAACAACACACAAAAATATTTGAATAAATAGATTATAATCCATTATAATTGATTAAAATGGATTATTTTTCTATGAAACTTTTTTTTGAAAATAATCGATTAGAAATTGTAAAAAATTAAGAAACGAAACCTGTAGAGCAATTAAGCAAAGTCGATGGACCACAAATCAGGTTGAACAACATTGTTATACACACAATGATATCTTGCAGAAAATCAACTTTGAAAAAATTCAATTTTATTCCTCGAATTTTATCTTCGTGTTCCAACTTAGTTACCAAGAAATTGTGAATATGGATGTCAAAAGCCTGGATCAAATTAAGTTAAGAAAAAACTACATTTCAAGTTTTTCATCAAAACCGAGTTTTTTAAGCTTTTCAAATAAGGCATTTTTTGTGCCGTGCATCTGACTGATCCATAAGTGAAGTTCATAGAGTCACTCATTTTTTTTGAAGGCTGTCTTCCTCCTGTGTAAAAGATTTTCAATATAATTACTACAACTTTTGAGCATTGGTAAAACAAACATGCTAACTAGTGTGAAACTTTTATATACTTTCAAATTTTTTGCTTAATGATTGATAAATTTGTTTAAATACGATAGAGAGCAAAAAAAATTACTTCGATATAAAAAAACACATAGTTAATCAATGCCACTAGGTTATTTTGTAATCAATTGCTGAAAATTTTTGTTTATATAGAAAAAAGAAGAACATTGCAATGGTTGACTTGCACTCTCGAGATAAAACCCGCACCGAAGTTTCATGGATAATAATCGATTATAATGGATTTTCGTTGACTAAAATGTTGTCAATATAATCGATTATCATGTCAAATTTAGACCACATAATGGATTTTTAATCGATTATAATCGATCATTTTGGAAAAATTTAAATCCATTATAATCCATTATAATCGATTATAATCCATTTTTGTTTTCAATATAATGGATTATTTTTTGTACATAAAATCTATAAAAATTGAATAAATTTTGTAAATAATGACTCTAATTTCTGCAACTTTCTGCAAAACTCGAACAAACACGTTCATCCAGGGACGACCAATATGTAGTAATTTTCCGAAAAGTGCCCAAAAACAGCATTTTTGACCAGCTCTTCACGTCAACAGCTCTTCCCATCCCCCCACGAAACCCCCAACCACGACGTGCCCCCTCTCTCTCTAGTTAGGGGACATCAACTCTAGTAAGAGGTGTTGGGGGGCATCAACTCTAGTACGAGGTGGGGTGGGGGGTTGGTGTGCGATCTATAGGTAACTTTTTATAATTTTTCAATAACTCGATTGAAAATAGGAAAAAAAGAAATTAAGCGAAAAGAAATTAAAACAAAATAACTAACTTAAGTTTAACAAAATTATGAAAAAATGAAAACAACACACAAAAATATTTGAATAAATAGATTATAATCCATTATAATTGATTAAAATGGATTTTTTTTCTATGAAACTTTTTTTTGAAAATAATTGATTATAATCGATTATAATCGATTATATTGGAATTTTATTGCTTTAAAAAATATTATCATTATAATCCATTTTCAATCGATTATTATCGATTAATTTTGTTATTTTGTAGGGACTGACAATAAAAATCCAATATAATCGATTATTATCCATGAAACTTCAGTGCGGGAAGTCATTAACAAAATTTTCACCGGCATCTGCAGCGGGGAGTTGATTCAGTTTTAAAATTTCGTGATGGCTTTGACTGTTTCATTAAGCTTTCAAATGCTTTTCTTTTGTTAATTATAGAGGAAATTGCAAGTGTCGATGTGTTTAAAACTGTTATTTCGGTTATACTTTTAAATACATGTTTCCTGTTTACGATGGGTTATTGAAAATCTTGTAATCAAATTTCTTTTTTGTTTTTCGTCATACTATTGTGACTTTTTAACCTAATTTTTATCCGCGTAGTTTTGATCATTTTTCCGAAACGTATGACGATGATTGTTCTTGGCTATATCACTATAAAATTTTCTTGAACTAAAGAACTTTCGATTTCGTTTTTGAAATAGGTTTTCTCAAAAAGCAAAGTTTTTTGTCTGTTTTCCCGACAGACAATTGTATATTTCATAGTAATTAATATCTATGCGTCCAAGTTTACCATCTGAAATTTTTCTTGTTTAATTTAAAAAGACTGCTTGAATATTGCCGCTTTTTTGTAATAACAAAACCATCACATCGCGGTTTAAAGTGCAGCTTGACTCTCTTAATCAGCCTGTTTTTAGCTTCAAAAATAGAAAAACATTGAGAGCTCATAACCATTAACCCTGATCACTTTCAAGTCCAGATTATTCAAACGAGATTTTTGTTGTATATTGAAGTTGAAATTGTCCCTTACAAAAGTTGCAACTTCATTAAATTAAACGTTCCAATCGATCGTTTTAAACAGTGTGATCAATCAAGTGCATCAGTTTTTCCTAGTCGTCCAGAAATTTCTGGCTACAAATGCGTTAAATTTGGTTCGAGGTTAACTTTTCTGCATTAATAAAATCAATAAAATCAATAAAAAAGGCACAACTTTTAGCATTGACCAATGCTTTATCGTACCAGTTCTATCATTACACTTGCATTAGTGTTTTATATCTTTTTAAAACCAAATTGTCTTCTTCTGCTGTTTCATCATCCTACCACACATCAACTGAGACAGGTTATCAATTTTTAGTGACAAGGCCCCGTGATGAAGGTTTGATTATGAAACCATAAGATCTGCACATCTGTGGTTGCAGCGCTGTTTTTATAGTAAATCGAAGTCAATTCAAATCGCAGTCATAGACATTTCATGTCTCTTTAATATTCAATCAAGAAACTAATTAATGTTTTATCTCATCAATCAGTCCTAATACTTATGGTAACTTGAATGAAGTCACAGAACAAAAATGAACCGTTTTCCTTAAAATTACAACTTTTTGAACAACCAATAAGAGCAACTTTTTTTAGTGGCGGTTACAGTAGCATCTTCTAAAACCAACTAAAAGCCGCTTCTGGAGAATAATTCGCGATTCTTTCAGCTTTTTTATGCATCTACTACAGATTATTTCAAATTGATGAACTTTTTAATGAGATTGCAAAACTGCTTCAATTACCGTATCCGTATTTCCAGAAACCAATGCTCATCACTGGACACCTGAGAGGCACAACATCGAACTCAATTGACCCTGACCTCTTGACCTCATACCATATCCCTTCCAAGGTCAAGTGAAGGTGAGCGGCATCTACTTTCTGGCAAGTCTGAGACGGTTTTGCACGTCTTGTTTCCCATGCAGCATCACAACCAGTTGATAAAATCAGCAGAAAAACACAGAATGGAACGATAAAAAATACCATGCTTTTCATGATATGGTCAGTTTATAAGGTGGTAAAATGAGTCAATGTTTTTAGGTAAATGACAATTGTGGACTCTTATTTGAATTACATTTGGATGACCTTTTCTGAAAACTGGAACAAATATGCCGTTATTTGTTTGATTCGACTTTGATAAATTAGTATTTTATCAAAAAGTCTAACTTTAATCTAGTTTAATTCCTACTAATATTCAAAATTTACGACTCGCTTTTGGTCGAATGAAATATTTTTGAGTATATGACCAGTGGCAGATCGCGGATCTAGGATTTTCTCGAGGGGGGGCGGATTTTCAAAAAAATTTCGAAAATTTTGTCGACTTTTTTTTAATGTCGACCGAATTGATTTTTGAGCTCTCCCTAAGCACGGTTTAGTCCCTGTTTTAGCCAAACTTTCTGCGTCGCAGGCAAGATTTTGAAAAACAGTCCAAAAAAGGTGTTTTTAGACACTTTTTGGAAAATTTTGACCAAAAAATTGCGTTTTTTCGGCGCGCGCTCTTCCCTCAAAATTAGTATATATTGGCGCCAAAGCCACCCTTAGAAAATTTTCGGGTCGGTCGGTCAAAAATGGATTTCTTAAAAAGTACCAAAGGGTGGACCCTTTGGGTCGGCAGGGGGTCGAATCCCTGAGAGGGAACGATAGCCCCCCCCCCCCCCCCCCCCATCCGCCCCTGTATATGACCATCAGGTAAAAATAATATCTCATGAAAAAAGAAAAATTTTAAGTAATAATTTTGGGTCTGTGTTTGAATATAAACTACGAAATATTCGACTGTGCTAGAAATACTATTCGAGTGTAGCGCACAGAGCAATAACAGCATCCTCCTCGATCGAAAACGGTTCTGATTGCATCAAGCCATGTCAATGTTGATCGTTTCGGTTTAAGTTTCATTTTCCAATTGGAGACAGGGCTGTGAGTAGACAGCTAGTTTTAAACATAACCCGACTATGGTCTCTAGTGTCAACATGCGTCGGTTACCATTATGGATTTTTTGAAGGGATGCCCCCCGTGTCACTTTTCCCCACCTCGGGAACATGCCAAATTCGTCGCCCAGAGGGTCTCCAACTTGACGCTTTTTGATTGTTTACAACGCCCAATTTGATCAGCAGCTTAAAGTTTGGTAAAATGCACTCTACGTTTTAAGGACTAAATTGGTCAAAAACAATTCCAAAAAGGCTAAATAGTTATGAATTTTTGGCTAAATAGTTATGAATTTGCCTGCAACACAGTAAAGCTCCGGGTGACCAAAAATGTTTATCGTACAATTCTCATAAATGGGAAATTTCTTTTCATACAAATCCATGAGTTGATGTATACAAAAGCTTTGCATAAAAGCACTTTTTCTAAATAACCTCGCAACCCAAATTAGTTTGTTTCTCATCATTTATCACAATTTTATCAAATTTTTTAGGAATCTTATACCTCATTCTCAATGTTGGTATAATGGAGCTTGCATGCAAGCAATCAAAACACCAGGTTCGCGTGCATGCTCTGTGGCACTCTTACAGTTATCTCTGTATTATCTAATTATCTCTGTAAATAAGCTAATTATCTCTTTTTCGATAACTTTTCAAATCCTTAAAAAAAAAATTCGCCGAATGTAAGATAGGTTTTAGAAGTCTTGTTGTGTTTTTGCTCCGACTTTCGATACGAAAGTAACGGCCCGTACCGAGAAAATTCTTTATTTCCGACCTGAAATACTTTGTATCTTATCTTAATTCTGGTCAGAAATTCTTTTTGAAATGTTTAAATAGAGCATGGATTTTCTTTAAATACTTTAATTCTAAACCTAATTTTGATCAGAAATTAGCTGAATCTAGGCTATTTTTATCGAGAAAAACTCTCCCGTTGGGACTCGAACCAGACCTTCTGATTCTTAGACATTTGCTCTATCCACTAGGCTACAACCCTTTATATTTTGCGTAGTTTTAGGAGAATAATAATGTTATAACGAGTGTATTTTTGCATTGTATTCACTACTGCTATTGTGTATACTCGAATCATGTTTATCTCGTTGCGGTTGAGCAGTGAACTGATTTCTGGTTATTTTTTTCCAGAAACTGTTTGTTTCTAAACTAGAAAAGAGAAAGATCACTTCTGCACGGAAAATACGAGCAAACTAGACTATATAATCTACATGGAATTTCTATCTAGAAAAACAGCTTCCGTTGGGTACGAGGGAATATTTGTGCTCGGGGTGGGTTTTTTTCTTTAGACAAATTTCGACTTTTTATCTAGCCATTTTTGACGGAATTTTTTTCATATCATTCGAAAGCCATTGTTATCCTGAGCTTAAATTTGAAAAGATATTTCACCTGTGATCTTTTTTCGTAAAGTCATGGGGGTTTAAAAAATGGCATTTTGGTCAATTTGGGACAATTAACGAGCAATATATTTCGCGCTATTACGCGTAAGCGGATATTCAATCCGTCTTAGAAAACGTTCCAAATTGGTTGAGGGAAGCTTTTTTGTCATAGTTGATTTAATACTAGAAGCGGAATTTATCCTTTTGTACTTTATATGGCGTGTGAGGTGATGAATTTCACAAAAAATCTCAAATTGTTTTACAAAATTCTTTCCATTTTTCATTTCTTTTCTTTACTTTTAATTTTCCCTTGTTATCCCGGGTTGACCTACATAAACCGAAATTGCTTATCTTACAATTTCATACACCGAAAACGCTTTTCATACAATTCCGTACATCAATTGAAAGGGAAAATGCTAGTCATTAAAAAAAACTTCCAAATGAAAATTGAAATTGCTCAAAAACTTTGTCGATTTTTTTTATCCTCAAATCGAATTTTGTACTCAAACAAACATTTTTCAAAAAAAATTTTGCATGCAAATTTTAATTTTTTGTTTGCATAACGTAGTCGACGATGCACAAAAATTGGATTTTTTTCCGTTTCTCTGGATAAATTTTTTTAAACAGGCTAAAAACTCCTGTTTTTTTTGGATGACATGTTTATTTATGCCTTGATTAATGTTCGATAAACTGAAAATTCTGTATTGAAAAATACTCATCAATGAAATTTTTTGCCAAAACTTAAAAGTTTGATGCTTTCACTATATCATTTGTGAAGACATCACTTTTTCAACGCAGATCGTTTCCAATGCGTTCTCAATGACAGATAATCAACCTTTTGGGAAGTCAAGTGTTGAGTACACCATAGGTTTAGTCATTTGTGTTCGGTCACGAACACATCCCAAAAGTTTTGAGAAATTAAATTTTTAAAAAATCTTTTTTTTTTGGTTTATGAAAAAAAAGCTTATCCTACACTTTTCATTTATGAAAATATGCTTATCTTAGAGTTTGTTAAACATTTTCTGTATCTATGGAATTGTAAAAAATTGTATGATAAGCTTTTTTTCATATATGAAAATTGTAGTACAAGCATTTTTGGTCAACCCGGGATTATTGCTTCATAGACCTTAATACGCAGTCGGAACCTTCAGGGCTTGGCTCTGATACGAGCAGTCTTGTTATATTAATGTTAGAAAGAGATTCAAGCAACTTATTCGAAAACAATACTGCTGCTATGATTGGTTTAAGTTGTAGCGTCTTTCACAATTTCGTTCGGAATTGCAACCTGCGAGCAACCACATGACATAAAACAAAAATAAGACTACTTTTATTTCAGTGCAAAACGCTGAATATTACGGCTGACCTTCAACTTGTCTAGAATCGGTTTTGGAAAACGAAAAATTACAGCATAAGGATTTAATACGACCAATTAACTTCCTGACTTGTGTAACATGAAAAAATGATTAATGAAAGTTTTTTTGTTTGTGTCTAGAATAAAGTAAAACAATCGGATCATGTTAACTATATCTCCCCTATGGCACCTCCCTCCGCAAGAATCTTTGGTTTTTCTATGTTTTGTCCAAAGCAAGAGTTTTTGGCAGGTTTCGCATTTAAGATTTCTCGCAATAAGGCCAAGTTGTTTCTTTTTTTGTAGACATAATTGATCGTCGTCCCAACAAGGCAGTATTTCGGTTTTAAAAATCATTTATGCTCAGCTCGACTGGTTTTGTATTTCTCGGAAATGTTTTCTGTCGCATTCATATTGGTTGACGCTAATTCAAAAAATTTCATGCAAACCTTGTTAACTCCCCCCCCCCCCCCCCCTATTGCAATAGGGGGGAAATTGTTAACAAGATCCAAACAATCAATTAGAATCCCGCACTGACAAACAAACGTGGATTTCGATCGATTTTAGAATGAAAAAAGTATGCAGATTAGATTGAAATCTATTTAAGTTGTAAAAAAGTAGGTTAATCAAAACGAAAAAATTCAGATCGATTTGGATCGATTTGGAATCGATTTAAATCTATTTAATTTCAACGCTAAAAAAAATCGATTGCAGTCGATTTCAAATCGATTCGAGTGGATCTTAAATCTGACCTAATGAGAAATTGATCAAAATTGATTTTAAATCGATTTAAATAGATTTTTTTTTTCACTTCTTTTTTTTCACTAATTTTTCACAAATTTTCGAATGACAGAAAAAAAAAGAAATTTTTTTGTCACATGTTCCATATACCAAAAATGATTAAAATGCCTGTAAAAGAAGATGTACGTCAGCTGACTATCGCAGAGTCTGCAAGAATCTAAGTCGGACACCCTTACAGAGACTAAAAGCAGTTTTCTGGATGATTTCTGACGCCCACGGGTCCTAACAAACAATTCCAGACTTTCAGTCGCAGCTCTGCCATATCCACTCCATCCGAATCAATTTGTGACTATCCAGTTCCCTCTGGGTTGATTTACTGCATTTCCACCAGATTCACTCTATCCGGATGAATTTAGGACTAATCCGACGCCTCTGGGCGGTCGCGGCATTATTTGGAAGAATCATTGGAAAATCAATTAGAATCCGAAATTTCATTCCGGTCAAATGATTCGTAGCAATACCAGTGATTTGTAAGCAAAGTTATAGAACCGTACTAATAGCGCTTATATTCCGAGACCTCTCAGAGATTTTTCCCAATAAACATGAGTTACACCGTAATAAAGGGTCACTTTTAATTCATAAAAGTTAAAAGCTGACTTGATATTACCTAAAACGACTACACCTAGACTACAATTGATGTTTGATACTTTGAAACTTTAACTATTGATACTTTTCATGTTTTCATACTTCTATTATTGTCTTTTAAGAAGACTTGACTTTACACTTCTTCTTCTTCTGTAAAACAAGATCAACCGTCCCCCATGCGCCCGTCCCGAAATCTTATCCCGCAACCCCCCAAAATGGAAATCAGAATCATAGAGTGGGCATCGGTCTTCGAAACCCTTCTAAATGAAGACGACGCGAAAAAGCAGCAAGTTATTATTTTACATAGATACGAGATTAAGGCCTGGCTTTTTCTTCATGGATTGGCTGTGAGATAAATCACCTTTCACTACAAGAGAGAAATACTCATAATCTGTTGAGCAATTAGGCACAAACCAACTACTTGGATAGATTTTGGTCAAATAAGTTTAACTGGTAAAAATGAGGAACCTGGACACTCTGGAAGAATGCGTACTTGAAGGTCTTTCGGATTGCCTCCCTTTGTTTGGATCCACTCTTCTGGAACCCCAGCTGGACCTGGGAGGCGACCGCATTCTTCACCAGGTCCCTCACGCATGTGGCGATGATCTCTGTCATCTCGGGAATGAACTCGAAACCGGTTCTTCTCCTGGAACTGACGGACCACGTCTTATCCGCACTGACAAAAATGGATTTCGATCGACTTTAAAATGAAAAAAGTATGCAGATTGTTACGTGTCATTACATATACCAAAATTGACTAAAATGCTTGCAAAACAAGATCAACCGTCCCCCATGCACCCCATTAATTCTTATCACACAATCCCCCTTCCCCCGAATTTTTATCCCGCAACACCCCAAAATGGAAATCAGAATCATAGAGTGGGCATCTGCACCCTGGTAGTTAAGTTAACCCGGGTGAGGAGAAAAAGTGTGAATGTATGAGTGAATGATAGACCGATAGCCACTTCTATCAGGCGATGTGATCTTCAACAATTGAGCTTTAAAGTCGACTTGGCTTCTTACTAGAATTTTTATAATCTAAACATGAAAAAAGCTCTGCGTCTCTTCAAAATGGAGAGGAACTTTTTATTCGATTGTATTTTGTTTTTTTTGTCTATTTTTTGTTGTTATCCACGCAAAATCAATTTCACAAAAAAATGTCTGAAGGGGATTCAAGTGATAAACTACATTGAATTTTTCGCAATTTCATTTTTAACCCGAAATGAAGAGTCCCAAAAAAGAACCGCAGCTTAGACAAACAAATTGATTTTTTTGTATGTCAAATTTTGAGCAAATATAGCGAGCGGGCATTGTTATAACACGGAAAAACATTAAACTATTAGCTACCCCAATAATATAAGTTTCAATGCAACCCCCCAATTCTTATCTATCCATCAGTTTTGACTTAAAATAAAAAAAACTTAAATAACTTGCTGACTTAATGACTTTTTCTGGTTTTATAGTGATTCAGACTTGATATATGATCGGGCGAATTGGGTTGGCGTGATTTAAACAGGGTGTTTTTATAGCTAATTTTGCCAGTTGTGGTTTAAGTTTGCAGATGTAAACTAGCAATTGATCCACAGTCTGAACAATTTAGGAGACGTGAATTAAATTAGACTGTTTGCCTTGCGTTGTGTTGTGTGATGTATTTTGATATATATCAAATTTTACTATGCTGTTTAGAACTCACGCGCAGTTGGCTTCGTCGCTTGTGCTTGGCTGGTTCTCTGCCTGTGTTGCCTGGTGCAGCAGTTGTCTTTCTGGTGAAGCAGTCCGTCTCTTCAACCTCAGGTATGTGTGTTCTCCCCTCCCCTTTTTTTGCGTTGCCTGCTCAGCCCTTGTGGTTTTTTGCTTATTCCGATGTCTAGGGTTAGGGTTGCTCGTTCGCGGCGCTCTTGAGGCTTTCAGTTTAGCTGAGGGAGTAGGCAAACTATGCATTTGCTCGCGCACATTTTGCCTTGTGTTTTGTTGTGTGGTTTAATAAGATTTGTAATCAATTTTTCAATGCTCTTTAGGTCTCTGGCGCAGTCGGCTTCGTCGCTTGTGCTTGGCTGGTTCTCTGCCGCTGTGCTGTCCTAGTCAACAAGTGAATGTCAATGCGACAAATTAACGTCACATTCAAAAGAAAGAGAAGCAAAACAATCTTAAGAATGGAACATTTTATGAACTCAAAATCTGATTTATATTGACACTTTTCTTTTAGTCGTCAAATATGTTTTTGTCCAAAACCTGATTTGCAATGATGGTTTTCTATGATTTCATTGCATATTTTGGAGCTCAAAATCTGGTTTATTTTGACAGTTTTCTTGATTTGTTTTATATGTTGATGCACAAAATCTGATTTACAAGGATGATTTTCTAGATTTTCGTTGTATAGCTTCGAAAGCAAACGTTGATTTTTAGCGAACTTTTTCTCTATTTAATACATTGGTTTTTGCCCAATACCTGATTCACATTGATAGTTTTTAAATAATTTTATTGCTTATTTTTGAGCTCAAAATCTGATTTATTTATACCAATTTATTCATTCGTAGCACAGGTTTTAGCCGAAGATCGGATTTTCAATTTTATTTTGACTTTTTTTTTGATTTCTTACATATGGTAATGCACAAAATCTGATTCTGAAACATCTGGCACGTGTGTTTTTATTTAAAAAATCAAGAAAAAAGTATTTCAGTTAGTTTTCTATATTGCATGTTTTTTTTTCGCCTTGTTAGCAGAAAAAATTGATTTTAATGTGTCGTAAAATCCATCGAAATCGATTTAAATAGATTTTTTAGACACTTAAATCGATTTAAAATCTTCAAAAAGATCGATTTAAAATGGGTTTAAGTGAGATTCTGATGGATTTAAGTGAGATTCGGATGGATTTTAGTGAGACGGAAAACCCATCGAAATTGAGTCAAATCGATTTTTTCGACACTTGAATTGATTTAAAATTTTCAAAAAGATCAACTTAAATCGATTTAAAATCCATTTGAGTTCGTAAAATGTACACTGTTAATCGATTTGAATCGATATAAAATCGACTGGAAACCATTTCTGTCAGTGCGGGATCGCTTTTATTTATTTATATTCCTAATAATTAAAAAAGCATTAAAATTCATTGCGAATCAATTGTAATCCAAAATTTTTCACTTTTAGGATAATGACAATGAGCCTAATTATAATCGATTTTTTTTCTACTAATTAAATATGCAAATTTCAGTGCACTCAACATCAATTGCACGCTTTTAATTAAAATTGGCCACCTTTTGTTTATTTTCAATGTTATTCTGCACAAGTTTGTTACCCATTTTATGTTACTCAATTCTGTTCCTTTCAGCCACTTTTTTTGTTAGTCAGAACCTGTAGGGAGGGGGGCTTAGGGGTTTGGGTTGAATGTAGATGTATATGGTAATGATGCGTATTAATATAAAATTATATATTGCTGTTTCTCGTACATAAATCACAATACTGCAGCAAAGGTGATGCATTTCTAGAGTTTAATGCAACATGAACCGGCGAAGCACATTTGTTTAAATAAACAGTTCTGAATAAGTTCCATCAAAAGGCCCCGCGGTATGAAATGTCATTTATTCAGGTTTGTTGACAGTTCTTAGTTTGCAAATTAGTGTCAAAATGTCAGCCAAATACTTCTCAAAGAATCAGAAAATTAGTTTGACAAACCAGTGAAAAATTTGCAGTTTTTCATATTCACAAACGAATGATAATGACTTTTAAACTGTCATTCTGCTCAATTTTTGTCATCATTATTTTCCTTCCGAACTGTGTGGCTTTTTGGTCAAGACACACATACAAGCCACCAACTTCATGTCAAAAACCTGATGCAGATCATATTCACATGGCCATGGGAGGGAAATGGTACGAAGTGCAAAGGTCAGCAGGGTCACCTGAGCTAACTGAGATTGGTCCTTTCAGATGTCCTCTTATGGACATTAGTTTCTTGAAACATGGATATGGTAAGTGAACTAAATTTGTTTCTTTTCTTAGTTTGAGGTGATCGTGCGTTTTTTCAGGATTAAATTAGATTGAGTTGACCTCATCAATTTAAGTGAACAAGCGGCTTTGAGAGCTTACTGGTGTCAGGGCTTATCATATCCCATTTGTCAATTTTTTTAAAATTTTTGTACTATCTAATTTTTGAGAAAAAGGTATGCAGCTTTTTGTGTACAGCAATATATCTTTCAGAATCGGTTCTAATTTTTTCGTGTAAAGGGTGAAAACGCTTTTCTAGCTTATTTAGTTTGATTTTTTTTTGCTTAATAGCGTCTGCAATTTAGGTTGGCACTTGGAAATTAACCAAACAGTGTTCATGACTCTGAGCGAACCAAAGACGACCACCCACTATGTCCATCAGCCATTCTCCCTCCAGTCTACATCAGAGGGGGCATTCGTGTACTCAGAGGACAAACTTCAGCCCCCCAAAAAAGAACCCGACTTCTTCATAGTCCATTTTGGAGGCCAGTTCCTCCTGACTTACTCATGCATAGAAAACGTCAGGGGCGTGTTCGAGGAGTCCGCCTCTATCTATTCACGTGACCCTCATCCCAAAAAGCGTGAACTTAAAGAGGCGGAGAAAGTGTTCCAGGAAAAAGGGATTAAAACAAACTTGGAAAGCGTTGATCAGTGGAACTGTCATGATTTTGAGTCTGACATGGATGCATGGCTATTAAGGCCACACAGCAGTTCCACAGAATGAAAAAACTGAACCAAAAGGATGAATACAAAAGAGCTGTAGAACTTTTCAAGGCAACTACAGAAGTATTTTTTTGATAAATGTTTCATGCAAAATAAATGTCTCCTCTTGTGAAGTTTTTGTACCCTAATTCGCAAACTATTGAGTTTCTCCCAAAGTAAAATTTTACAAGATATGTCACTCAAACATATTAAATAATGCAATACTCGAGCATGGTCTTTACAAGATTCTTGATGGTGCTTAAATATGCTGGCCTGATAAATCATTCAAGATACTCAAATCTTGCAAGTTTCTCAGAAGATCTTACAGGAATCATACAACATAGAAAAAATTTTACGATTCATCTAAGATCTTCTGTTTGTAAAATTTAATAAGATTCAAGTAAAAGTTTCTTGGACAGCACTATCAGAGCTTGATAGAGATAAAATTCCTGAGGTTCAGTTTCTCTATTTAAAACATTTCTAAAGTTGCCGCTACAAAACGTTTTGGAGAATTTTCAACTAAAAATTCAAAACGATATATAAGTTAATTGATCGAGTTATCAAAAATCTCTTCTTTCTGTTTCTTTTTTTTCAATTTTTAAATAGTTTGAATGAAAACTGATCTTAATCGTTTTCAGTCTGAACTTAAACAAAAAATGAATTTTTTTAATGATAGGCACATTTATCATTTTGCATAATGATGTGGCAATATTGCGCGAATTAAAAACTCTGGAACTATTTTTTTCATTCAATGTATGTCACTGTTATAATGCACTAACTCAATTGGCCAGCAAGCTATTTTGCAAGATCTGATTTACAAGATTGTACAATATAACCAATTCGAAATGTAGCTACATTTTTTGGCAAAATTCTAGAGGAAAAAGTCACAAAAAATCTTAGAAGATATATACAAGTTCTAAATTTATGATGCAAGATGCGAACCGGATCTTAAAAAAAGCACATCCTTGTCAACTAGGGTTATTAACAAAGGAGAGAAGTTGAATATCTGTTTTCAACAATTATCTTCTCTTCTTTCTGCTAAGTGTCTCAGCTAGCAATTTTTTGATATCAACCATGACTTTGTTCAAATACAGTTTTCAGGAATTGAGTATGCGGTTCGAACCCTCTACAGTTTGAAACAGCTCGAGAACTTTCGAGCGTCAGGTGAGTCACTTTTGGTTGATTAAGTTTTTTCATGACGCGTTTATGAATCATGACTCTCCGGATATCAACCACGATCACCCACTTTGCTAATCAGCCGTTCAGAGTTTTTAATGATTGCAGATGTTTTTAATGTTTTGTTTTGCTTTCAGGTTTTTGGTTTATGTTGTTGTATATTCAGATTTTCTCTTACTAGTTCTTTGCTAGTTAGTTGAAAGGTTTTTGTCTTTGTACCTAAATACCTCTGAACTTTTCTCTTGCGCCCTGTTGAACAGAGCCCGAGAACATTTTTGCTACTTCAAGCAGTTGTCCTGGAATTTGCCAATTTAAATGTTCGACAAAAAATTGGCAGTCTACGCCTGGTTTTTAGCAAAATTCTTTGAAAACCACATTACGAGGCCACTCTGTGTAGGTCTTTGGAATCTTGAGTCAAGTTTTTGAACACGTTAAAAATTTGTCAGAACGAAGAAAACGAAATGACAAAGAAAGCACGAAAAGAGCGTCCTTGTTGCTGATTCCGCTTGCCATTCGCAAAATACACAGTTTGACCTCGTAATGCAGTCTTGAGCTCTTAAACAGACCCAAAACATTCCAAATAACACCTTGTGACTTTGACCTGGTTTCCCTCGGCAGGTAGCCCAGGAATTGAGCAATGAACAAAAAGTATCAAGGGACAAAAACCACAAGGATTTCAAACGCAGGGTATCGAGAACCTTACTTTCTGATCACAAGAACAGATGAAAAAGTTGATTTAAACTTTTTCTGTTTAAATATATGCCAAAAACTCTAACGAATAAAACAAAACCAAACAAAAAAAAGTTAAAATCAAACTTCTGAATTTGATACTACTCTCGATCCCAAAGTCATATTTTTGAACTGATTTATGTTAGATATTCTCTTGGTTAAGTAAGTTTACCAGTTAAAAGTTTTTTTCAGGTAGTCATCAGACTCTTTTTCACGTCGAATAATGACGTTTTTCATGTCCAATTCCAAGTAGTTTTTTTAAGCCAACTTTTAAGCCAAATTATCGGTTTGTTTTTGCTCAAATTAACATGAAAATAAGTTATGTCAGGTCTATCAGGATACTGAGTTGGGACTGATGGTCTAACTCATAGAGTAATTTCAGATATAGGACAACCGTCTGCTCGTCACGCTATCTTATTTTCGGCCGGATAGATTCGTGCAACATCTTAGTCTATTACCGATCTTAATCTTACTCTTATATCTCTTAGTCTCAATAGATCTAGAAAATACTGGTTTGTTACGAGTTGGTCTTTTGGAAAAGGCAATTAAGCTGTACGTTAAATTCAGAATGCTCTGGTGCTGATTGTTTCACAAGCAGCCAAAATAAATAAGTACAAACTTGAGGATCGTAGTTTTTAATACAGTTCGGGTTGGGGTGTTCGATTTTTTATTTCGACTTTCTCGAATAAAAATTGGTAGGATTTGATCGTATCGACGCAAATTTGGCATGTCTTGAAGTTAAGGATGTATATATTTAAGTATCTTTATATGTTTCAACTGTGTCTCACTAAGAACTTCACAATCAAAAAATGTGAAAAAAAGAGGACTGAATTTATCTATATGGCGCTGAAGCCTAATGCAATTTACTTATGCCGCGCTGAAAACTGTTACCAGATGAAAATAGGCAAGCCAGTTAATCATAGCAATTTCTCATACGACTGAAAACTTAACATTTTTTTTTATTGGCTGATGGGGGACAGATACATTCACTTTAAAAAACTGTCCGCGCATATCAATATATTTATTCTCGTGATGCGAAAAAACGTACCAGATGACAACCTGTTTCAGGCGACAATTCGTAACGGTAACACTGATTCACGCGCATTATTTCTCTTGTGGTGGATGTGAGTACTGTGGAGTGAAACGGAGCAAATGAAATTTACTCCTCAAGGCCTTTTTATGATTTGTTGCCTGTTACGAATGGTTGCCTGTTACGATTTGTCGCCCAACCCTTTATTTTGCGTTGTCAGCTCTTGGTTGTTGTCATTTTGCATCGTCGGCTCTTCATTTTGATTGAGCAGAATTATGCCCGGTGCCACCTCCAATTTTCGTTGGGATTCGAGTGTTTCAGGCACGCTAAGCAGTATTGTGAGGCCATTGTCGCAATTGCCATCAAAAGAAGGATTATCACTCCGTTTTTTACCCGTTCTCTATTTGCTCATAAGATCTTTCGTTTTTCTGTTGTGGTTATTGTTTGACCTACCGGGGCTGAGGTGCTTGCTTCATGATTCAAGTGAAACGGTCGAACGATGTCCGTTTGCCGAGAGTTGCTCGATTTTATTCGAAGTTGTTCGTCTTTGTTTGACTTTGTTTGACTTCGTTTGACTATACAGGACGTTGTTCTATTTTGTTCGATTTGTTTGACTTTATCAGACATTGTTCCACTTTATCGGACATTTTTCGACTTCGAACGACCATGTTCGACTCCATCGGGAATTCTTCGAATTTAGTCTATATTGTTCGAATCTACCACACCTCTTTAGTCTTTCTACCAAATCGTTCGTCCTTACTTGTTGTTTTTTTCGAAGTTACCTTCTTTGTTCGGTAATTGATAATTTTGGTTCAAAAAAGTCGAATGTCCTTTGTCGACTGCTCTTTGTCGACTGCTTGACTGCTTTTTAACTGGATTCAAATAACTTTTGGCTATCAAAAAATAAGCCAGGATTATTTTATAAACCCTAATTGTTTCACAAGCAGCCAAAATAAATAAGTACAAACTGGAGGATCGTAGTTTTTCATACAGTTCGGGTTGGGGTGCTCAATTTTTATTTCGACTATCTCGAATAAAAATTGGTAGGATTGATCGTATCGACGCAAATTTGGCATATCTTGAAGTTAAGGATGTATATATTTAAGTATCTTTATATGTTTCAACTGTGTCTCACTAAAAAATTCACAATCAATAAAAATGAAAAAAAAAAAGAGAATTGAATTTATGTATATGGCGCTGAAGCCTAATGCAATTTACTTATCCCGCGCTGAAAACTGTTACCAGCTGAAATCAGGCAAGCCAGTTAATCACAACAATTTCTCATACTACTGAATATTTAACTCTTTTTTTTATTGGCTGATGGGGGACAGATACAATCAGTTTAAAAAACTAGTTTTTCAATATTTTCTCTGCTAAAAATATTTGAGGACAATTACATGGCAGTCAAAACATTCAATCTTTTACCTGTTAAACGAGAAGGCATCTTTTGCAGTAAATAATGGAACATTTGTGGTCTTGTGGGTTTTTTCTATCGACGTTCGACTTGTTCATGGAACATTTTGCGTAAATTTTGAAATGTCGCCTGAAAAACTTGGATAACCATAGATCCAATTTCAAAGCAACTTTCACCTGCGATTATTTGTTTTTTTTTCCGAAATTGGAAGAAAGTGACGGAATATTTGTGCTCTGGATGGTTTTTTTTCTCGAAACTGTTTCAGTTTCTTAACTAGCAGTTTTTGCCGAATTTGTTTTTATGTAATCTGAAAAGTTCTGTTGTCTTCAGTTCAATTTTTGAAGGAATTTTTGCCTCCTTCTGTGTCTTGAGCTTTGTCACCTGGGGCCCAACTCTAAAAAAGTTTTTCATCTCCCTTTTTATTTTTGTAAATTTTTAGGGTTTCAAGTATTGCCAATATGGCTAATTTGGGATAACAAACCCGCATTCGGTTTTTTTGTGCTATCAAGGCGCAAGCTGAGATCTTATCCCTGCTAGAAACCGCTCCTTTTTGACTTAAATCCAGCTATTTGGTCCAATGATTGTTTCGCTATCTGCGAATTATATCAATTCGTGCTTTACATAACCTGTGGGGCGATGTTTTTGAAAAAAAAATCCAAAAACCTCCAAAAACACTATTTCAAAAACTTCAACGTAGTGTTATAAAGGTTTGATTTGAGGACCACTCTGACCACGATATTTCAAAATGGCTCTTAATAGTGACTCGAACAGACCAAATTAAGCGC